ACATTTACAGTATTGGACACTGACCCCTACAATGAGCGCTACTGCCGCTCTGTTTGTAAATGTTGTGCATTTTGGTAAAATAAAAAAAATCGGGATTTATATTTTAGTATTTAGCTACTTTGTATGAACCCATTTATAACCTTTGTTCACAGTATCATTTAACTCTATGCAGTTTTTCAAATATATCATCGCCTGTCTAACAAAATAAAATTCATAATCTGCGCCAACAAGGTATTTAAATAATAAAACTACTGGCAAAGCTCATTAAAAGTATTTATTATAAATGAACATACTTTCATGTTGAAGATTTTTCTTCCTTTATTGGGTCTGTGGAGCAAAATTCTAAGATTATTTTTCTGTTTTCTGTTATAATAACGAGTATAATTCAGTCAAAATATTACCTTTTATTAAATAAAGCAAAAACTTAGACTTAAAACTACCAATTAAACCAAGAAACAAACAGATCTCCGTCAGTAAAGAATGAACCATTGCCTGCCCTGCGTTTTTCTTCACCTTTCTGCCTTGATGACCCTCATCATCCCATCCCCCCCTCTTCATCAGTAGATCTGAAGCTGCATCCTGCTGCTGATATGATCATGGTGGTTTCTGGGTTAAACTTTCACAGGTGCAGAGAGTTTTAACGTTAGCTTAGCTGTACCACTCTGCACTCTACATTTATATTTCACACTCTTAGATATCAGCAGACAACTAAATGTTTTCTTGTGAGTTGTATGTAAATCATGACATTTACTGTTTTTTGTGTGTTTTTTTGTGCTTTTACAGTTCTAGAGACATTTATCTATAGACAAATGATCTGATTTTTGTTTAGATATAGATCCAGGTAACTTCTTGTTCATGTACTCTGAAATCTACTATCCCGCTGTTCAAAGAAATTAAATCCAAACATTATGCTTTTGACAATCAAGGCTGAAATTATTCTTACCGCAGTTTTAAGTTTGAAATATTTTTAATTGCATTAAATAATTTTGCTTCTTCAGACTGGCAGTCAAATCATGTGTTTTGGTTTTGTTCTTTTAGAGTTCAGGCTAGGATTTATGGAAAATCTGTAGAGAATAGGGTGATAGCAGAAGGTCTCCTAACCTCAAAAAGTTGAATGGCAATGATGAGCAATGATGCAGTAATCAAAATACCAGTGGAAACATGTAAATATAGCCAGTAATTATACTTTATTGCTGTAAAAATAAGATTTTTCATTCATTATTCTGGAGGGTTTATATCCCATTTTAATGTATATATAAGTAGAAAGATACATTTTGTTCATTAAAATGTATAGCCTACTCTTTTTATAACTTTTAAATACATTTCAAGAAATGGCCTTCTTATTTCCTGGAAGAAAGAAACGTTTTGTTTAAGTGAAGGCTTAAGTATATACTCGCAAAACATCAGCAACGCTAAATTAACTTAAACCATCTCATCAAACTGAACTGAGCGTAAGTGTGAAAAGAATTACTCTTACATGGCCATTAAAAGATCAATCAGTGATGCTACAAAAATGTTAATGCTGTAAAAAAAAAAAAAGGCCCATTGCTTCTACTGACCTCGAGGTATAACTGACTTGACCAAAATGGCTTTAATGTTCAGTAAATGTAGAGTTTTCTGCTGGTGTAATTTTTCCAAGTTGACTAAAGGTAAGGACCGCGCCCAGAGCAGATCAACAGCAGAAGAATCGCAAAGGAGGGCAAAGCATGGGTATATATACATATATATATATATAAAGGTTTTGTGTGTGTGTTTCTTATATTATAGTGACCATTTTCCATATTTTAACACATTGTGGGGATGGAGTGCTCTAGTGGGGACCAATGTGTGGTTGCCATGGGAACAAATGCTGTTTGTTTTAGAGTTTAGGTTGGGATAAGGTTTATGTATAATGTTTAGGTTTAGGATAAGGGTCACAGTTAGGCTGTAGGATTCTCCTAAAAATGAATGGAAGTCAATAGAAAGTCCACACCAGAATAGTGAAACCAGACGGTGTGTGTGTGTGTATGTGTGTGTGTGTGTATGTGAAAGTGTTGATTTGACTTTATTAATTGAGCTGGAATGCAGTGTCTGATAACTGCTCTATGTATGTATTGGACTCTGAATTTGTATTTATTCATTAAAATTCTTTAGGAGCCTTAGGAGGAGATGTGTTGCAAAGTGGTGCTAAACAAGTAAACATACATTAATATCTATGATAAACTAAAGCTAGAATTATCAAAAAGATCAATACAGAGTATTATCCATCAGCAACACTGAACTCTTTTATATTCACTAATAATCAAATAAAGTGTAAAATTGTAATATTTAGCTCAAATATATTATTTGTCTAGTTGTAATTTCAAACAAACTTTGTTGTTTTATCATGGGTTTAATTGAAACTACACAGAACTTTACAGTTTTCATAAATTGAATGTTAAACAGCTATAAACAACAAACAAAAAAAAACAAAACATGCAAAGCAAGTAAAGTTGAAATAAAGTATTTTGGTTCATGTACCAGAAAGATTTTAATTTCTTTTTTTTTTTTTTGGACAACCTGTTGATCCCCACTAATGACAGCTGTGGAGGAATGTGGCACTTATTTTTTGATGTAAAAAATTTAAAACCATTTTTTGCACAGAATTTGAACAGTAAAAGAGAAATGAAAGTAAGATGAAAATTCAAACAAGTATAAAAGAGAAGAATGTAACTCAAACCACAGTCTGTATGTGCTGCTGGTGCTGTGGTCTCTCTTTTTTCTCCCTTCAAGCGTGGAGAGATCCGTCTTTCGTGGAACAGAGGAGGAAGAGAGGGGGTGTGAGAGGCAGAGGGGGAGGAAGGGGAGAGGAGAAGACTGGGATAAGAATCTGCACCTTAACTAAATCAAGTCCCACCACAACCCAGCATACGCTCTCTGTGTGCCTCTTCCCCTCCAAATTTGCCTGCTTATTTTCATCTGAAGCCCACCACAGACCGCCTACTCTCATGTCTCTGAACATTTCCTCTTTTATCTTTTCAAATCTCTCAAAATCTGAGACCACCGCAATCACTGGGTTGCTCCTTTAACTTTTTACCCTAATGTGAATGAAAGCATGAGCATAGGGTGAAATCACGACCCTTCTTCCGAATACCATATACATTTGAAAAGAGAAAAGATAATTCCTCTCAAAGGTGTCGCTGAATGTCCTTTTTGTTTGACACATCAACTCAGTTTTTTATAAATATTATTTTTTATGCGTGTATTGTGTGTAGGACAGCAATTAACGATTATTTTGCAAATCAATTAATTTGTTGATTATTTTTCCAGTTAATTGATTAATAGTCAAAGGTTCCTTAAAGAAGATTTTTTACTAAATTAAACCAGGTAAAACTTGAGGAGTTCTCGATGGAGCATATTGACAGACAAATATATATATTTTTTTATCTTAAATGCAAAATGTTTACATATTTTTTTTACAATTTGGATATAATTACTGCCATAAGTGCATTGCTCTGTCAGCTAAAGGAATGTTTTAGAGTCTCTACACTCCATTTAATGATTAATGGATTACTGAATTATGATTATTTCAAAAATTGATTAATCAAGATTAATATGATTAATTTTTTTGGCCTTAATGGTGTATATTGTTTTATTTCAAAGTGTGATTTAAAAAAACTATGTGCTAACATAATAAAACTTGAGGTGACGCAGTACTTAAGTTGGTTACTAATTTTAAAATACTCAAATACACCCTGCTTATGTATCTATTTAGGACATTTGGCGCAAAAAAGGCCATAGCTGTTTTACACAGCTTGATGTTCAGGTCACTATTTTTAGGCATAAATAGACCTTCTCTGTTGAAATCTGGGTATTGGATATGTTGCGCTTTTTTGTATGGAAACTATTGTACTCCAGCTACTTTTCCATGTCTAATATACTTCCTAGCTGTATGTATGCATTGTGCATATTGTGATTTACCTTTCAAATTAATAGCACATATTTATCATTTATGTACTTGTGATCTATTGTGCTTTTAAAATTATACGATCAGTTAAACACCACAAAATGATGTCTCTTTTTTTTCTTCTTTTTACCGTGTTTAGGTGTGACACCACAATGAAGATCCTTCTGCAGTTCTTGGCCTTTCTCACCACCATCCTCAAGACATATGGTAGGAAACACCCATTACAGATTCTTTTAAAATGTTTAAAATGCATTTTGATTTTGCATATTAACTCTAAGCTATATTTCTCTCTTAGGGGCAGATGAAGACATTTATGTTCGTCTTGGAGAAAAGGTTGTGCTTGAAATGCCCAGAATCCCAGATAATTATTATGTGCAGTGGTTCTTTGAAACGGAGAGCGAACCTGGGATTGCTGACAATAATTATTTAGGTAGAAATTCTGTATCTAATTCAGGTGAGTGATGTATATGTGCATCAAAGAGGATTATTTGTTTTTCTTTTTTTGCAGTTAATCATTAAGAAAAATATTTACAATGCACAGAAATTTAGGTTATTTTGGCCATACTTATTTATTTTTTTGTCAACTTTTCTTTACAGATATCTGGAAAGGCAAGTTGTCTGCAAATAAAGGGAAACTGACCATCTCTAACATCGAACAGGAAAACATAGGGACATTTATCTGTAAAGTTAAAAATGCTTTAAATTACCAAGAAACAAGAACATTTAAGCTGATTAAAGTTGATGGTAAGAACCAAAACACATTCAACTCTATAATATAACCTGTATATTAAAATGTTTCTACAATGTGTTGCTCTAAATTAAAATTTTAACTTAAATCTTATAGTCAGTCTAATAATATTTTTTTTTTTATCACTTTTTAATTTACTAGGTCCAACAAAAAACTTGACTGCAGAGTATCTGAAATGATCCTTTATTGAAGGGTTCCTTTTAAGAATTTTGATTCAGATTTTCTTAAATGTGCAATCTGTCTTTTTTGTCGTATTAGTGAGCATGAAAGGAGATTCACCAGTGACACCTGGAGATACTTTATCTCTGAGCTGCAAAGTTGAAGGTCAAACCCAAACCCAGACTTACTGGATAAAACCATCAGGCATAGAAACAAAAACAGGAGAATTTAATGAGAAAGCCGAAAGCCAACACAACGGAGAGTGGACATGTGTCGTAAAAGAAGTTCGCAGTTTCAAATTTTCTGTTTCTGTTGTAGGTGAGTTATTTGCCATGAACACATTATTTTATGCTGTTGTGGTCTACTTGCATTTTGAGTTAAATTATTTTAGATATCTTCTTCTCTGTTTTAGATTTCTCTTTTGAATCCAAACATCTCTACACTTCTACAAACCTCCCCCTTACAGTGTCTATTTTGATTACTCCCAATAAGTTTTTGAAACAAATACTGAGTAAAATCAAGGAAATCCAATGGGTTTTCATCCCTAAAAAGGATGGCAATAAAACTGTCTTGTTGACCTTGAAGAATGGACCGTGGGCACAAAAGGGACCGCAAAAAGGACTGATTTTTAAGAACTTCACAAAGGAAGGAAATGTTTCCTTGTACAGAAATCCGGCAAAAGAAGAAGACAGAGGGAGCTACAACTGTTCAATAACATTTACAAATGGCATTGTTCTCACCAGGACTGTGTTTGTAGAGGTGCTGAAAAGTAAGCAAAAACAAAGCCTCAATTATTTTGTTCATAAGTGATAGAGACTTACAAAAAAATGCAATTAAACATATGAAACTCATCTACTTTTCCTTTGCTCTCCAGTCATCCCCTCCCCAGGAAAAAAGCTAATTTCAGGTAATCACCTAAACCTCTCCTGTTCCACTGGTGGAACCCTGGATGCCGACATTAAGGTGCAGTGGTTCCCTCCAAAGACATCCTCCCAGGGGAAAGCCAAGCTTTCATCTGACCCTCTGTATACCATACCAAGAGTGGGCACAACGGACTCTGGAGAGTGGAGGTGTGAGCTGCAGAAGAACGCCACGACACTGACGTCAGCTGTGATAATACTGGAGATCGGTGAGCACAGGAAGCGAGAGCAGAAATCTGACATGGTTATGAACCTGTGGCCACAGAGCATTAAAACAGAAACTTAGTTTTACCTGTCCTGTTCTTTGTATCTACTCAATACTGTTTAATGACTCTGATTCTCTGTTCTCCACAGATCCCATCCTGACTGCATGGATGGTGGTGACCATATGCGGCGCTGCAGTCATCCTGATCCTCCTCCTTATAGTTTCTGTCACCCTTTTCCGGCGCAGACAGGTACAGTTAAAATCTTCCATATTTTCAGGTGGATCAAACCTGAATTTGGTCTTATCTTGATTGAAATCTCACCGTCTGTCATGTATTTGTAATTCTCCTCAGAGGAAGATCAGAAATTTCAGGCATCGACTCTGCAAGTGCGAAAAGTAAGAGCTAAGCATTTCCTGGATTAACAGGATGGCAATAATATGTACATTCACTCCCAAATAAGTAAACATTTATGAATGAATAATATCTTGATATTTAATATCTTTCCTAATTCAAACAATGTTGTTTCTTTTTCAGCCCCAAACCAAAGGGATTCTTCAAGGCCTAATAATCAGGACTTTCATGATAAGACCCCAGGGCACCATGCAAACAAATACATGTCTGTCCCAGATGGACCCTTACATTTATCGACTGTTCTGGATGAGTTTGGAAGAGAAGGAAACATTAAGAGGTTGTAAAAATAAAAATATAAGATAAACAAATTTTAAAGCTGTATATATATAAACCATTTTTCCCCATTTTGTAAATTTGGAAATATTTTTTAATCAACTTTTCCAAACAATGATTTGAAATACATATATTTTTTGTGCAGATCTTTTAACTGATTTTGTTTCATCCAGAGGTGACCTGTTATTAATTTGGCCAACTGTGTTCATTATGTTACTTATTTTGCTAACAAGGATCAGAGCCTCAGTTGAAGGGAAAATAGCACAATTTCAGATCTTTAATTAATAAAATACATTAAAATTAACAAATACAAAAAATCTAACTATATTGATGAGGATAACTCACAGCTGGTTTATAGATGAAGATAAAAATCCATTAATTGAATGTCATATGTTTATGGGGTGCTAAAAATGTAGGAGAAGCTTGTTTTGAAATGGAAACAGACCAGGAGTTTTTAACCACCATTTCTAAATGAGTTTGGACAACCTTTATAAATGTAGATAGAATAAGTTCCTCCGGAAACGCACTCAAACTCTTTTCTTCATAAAAAAAAAAAGAAGCAGAGACTGTATATAAATGAAATAATAACATACGGACTGCATCCAAAAAGAAAAAACAGAATTGATGCTGGTTTTTGAGGATCACATTTAATTTTTAAATAACCTTTGTATGTGCACTGTTTTATGGGTATTTTAAAATGATTTTAGGCAAATCTGATTTTAATCCTTCTTTCTACTGAAGAGCATTTTGATCCCTAAAAGTTTTGTAGTTTAGTGACTCCTGAAATTTCTTGTAAAAAGGTTGTCTTTGTTTTTCTGTAATGATTAACTGCTCTTAGCCTTTCCCAGATCATTTATTGTTTTTGGATCTTCCCTTCTACTAGCACTGTACTGATAATGATTCTGTATTTTGTGTTTCTAATGTTTCAAATTTTAGTTGACTTAGTGTTAAAAAGCATGTTGTTTATATCCTCTCACAGTCAGAAGTCTGAACTTACTTTGTAATATATTTGTAATATTGTGAATTTTATCTATGCTAACATTGTGCTTGTGAGATTTTTTGTTGTTTTGTTCAGTGTCTTGTTGGTTCAGCTATATTTCCACTGATATCTAATTGTCTTTTCTTTATTTAGTTATTCATTTAAAAAAAAATACTGAACATATTTTATTTCTTCACACAAGGTGATACTTTATTTCTTAAAAATAGAAACAGGATAGTTTGGACAGAATAAAGATGTTGATTAAAAGCTGAAGACAAACTGTAATATTGCAAATGTATATTAAAGCTTTTCAATAAAGGATCAGTCACATTTGCAGCTTAGTCGGGGGTGCTCCAGAGGTGCGGTTGGGTCTCAGAGCAGCGGGTTGGCGGCTTTCTGACAGATCCGAGGATAGGTGAACTCACAGGGAACGTCGTACCATTTCTGAGTGTAGCTATCCACCACTGCACAATCCTCCCCCTCTGGCCCTTGGGCCTGATTGTTGTCTGGTTCTCTTCTGTAAGGGTCCCAGAACCTTTGCAAACATAACAGAGAAGATAACAGGAATGAGTTTGAGAAGGTTTATGAATTATATTAACAAGGAGCAATGCTCATCAGGTTCATCCTAAGAGGATCTGAAGATCTGTGACATTATAGCAGGTATATGTATTCAGATTTAGAAACACTAACGCAGAATGACTCCCAGGCGCCACCATGAGGTTTATAGAAACATTTTTCCCTAGCTACTCATATTTATCACATAATTAAATAACCCAATGAGCTAAAGCATCATTTAGCCTGTATATCTTAGCATTGAAATGTTTGCTAACTGTTTATGCACTGAAAATATCATTTAAGATCATGACAGTAACAACACCTCTCTGTCTGTTAATCCTAATCCTTGTGTATGTTTTTAAATCAGTTGTTTCGAAAAAGAATCATATCCATTTTAAAGTTATTCTTGTAAACCTGCACAAAATTAATCTAGCGTGGGCGTCTTACTCTATGCTTCACAGCATGTATGACCTACATGATACATATGACGTAAGTCTGTAAAAACAAAACATCAGTGTTATTTTGTGAGTCACTTATGCTCCTTGTGTGGGTGAGCTGCAGATAGTCTTACAAAAGTAAATTGCAAATGTCTTCTTTGCAAATAGTCGCCCATTTTTACCCTTTTTCTACTCTCATTCTATTTTCTATTTCTGTCTAAGGGGTAATGTAGACTTTTCGCGTTATCACTTGATTCATGTCGGATTTGATAAGGGCAATTTAAAAAAAACATCTTCATCATGACTTCAGCTAAACTTAACTTCCAACACCTGTTGCTATGATTTTTTAATTCTCAGCCACGTAGCCATGTTTGTGCAACCATTTTTTGAATAATAATAGTCGATTATAATTTTTTTCTAAACAATCTAAGTATCTTTCATCCCTTACAATGATGTTAACAGCAAAGATGAGACTGCATTAACTGCTGTTGTTTTAGTTGTTATAAAGCAATTTAAAGCTGCACAGTTTTCAAGAAAAAAATAAATCATTAAAGCATTAAAAGGCAATAATTTGATTAAATTCAATGATATATTGAAGATACTGGGACTAAGTGTCTGGAAGTAGTCAACTTCAAATGTCTGGGATCACTTTTGGTGACAAAAATCCTAATTGATGCATCCTGCACAAAGAATACAGCATTTACAAGCAGGTTTAAGAAGCTTGTCAGGTTTTAGAAGTTTATCTCTCTAGGCAAGTTTCTTTTTCTTGTTCATGTTAATATGAATTTATGTCACGCCTTACAGTTATTCTGAGGCCATCAATGTTCAAAATAGGTTTTTTATAAGAATATAACACTCAAAACTGTAATGATCCTAGTCTGTTCCTGCCTGCGAAGCTGCCGTGTCACTGTGCTCCTTGTGCAGCACTGACAATCAGGTCTGAGCAGCTACACCTGCAGCAGCTCCAATGACCACGACGTCCAACCTAATGTCCACTTCAACCCCTAAACCCTCGATCACTATATAGAGCAGGGACTATATAGTGGACTTTATAGTGAACTCAGTTAGCTGACCGTTCGGACATATGATCACCATTTTTCGATCCCCATTGTTCACATGACTCCGGGTCCCCGCATGGTGTCTGTGCCATCTTTGTTCTCTCTCGCCCCCAAAGCGAATCCCATGATGCTTTGCGAAGAGAACACTCGCATTCTGGGATATATCTGCTCATCTAGGGACCAAGGATGCGCACTACTTTTCAAGCTGCATTGTGAGAAATGTTTAGCTTTTGGACACTCATATAAAATGGCAGTTAGAGCAATGGTTAGGGCAGACGTTCGGACACAGCTCAGAAGTTGCAGCTCCTGGGAGGAGATGTATATATTCATGGCTCTCCCAGAGGATAACTGCCAGATTTTTGAAAGCCGTTTCGTGCGAGTAGAACATCAATCCATCTTTGACCTTAGTTCCTGATCTCAACTTTCTGGAAAGCTCTGCTATGAGGACAGCTCTTCTGTGCATGACTCCCAGGCTAACTACAACGTCCCCTATCCTTAGCTCTGTCTAGCCCTGTCAGGATTTGGATAAGTCAGTCATTGACCTGAATCATCTGAATGGAGCAAAAGGAGTCAATCTTTAGAGCTTGAATAACCTCTCGGCTTCTGAGAGGGTTAGTGGCTTTCATTCAGTGCATTTCAACACCAGTGAGTTGTTCTCAGCCATTAACCCTGTTCTCCTCCACACAGTGAATCCATTTCCAATCAGTTTTTGTTCCTGCAACATACAATTTACTTTTAAATAAACTTTTTAAATGCACACTACTTGTGTCAGCTGAATCTGGCTCGATATTATTTCCTGGCATTACAACAGCAACTAAATAAGTAAAGAGTCTGGTTCTCACAGTATTTAGAATAAACTGTGAGGAATAGAAAGTTTTTACACTAAAACAGACTGCTGTAGGCATTGATTTAATTTCCTCCCTTCTTTTTTGTACCCAGTCTATAAATATAGCCTAAGACATGAAACCAGCCGCTTCATAATTAATCTGTCAACCCCCAAGAACTGAAAACATTCAAATCTGTGCCAAATAATACTTTTTAATTAACATTTTCGGTTTTTACTCTACTCAGCAGTAAGATGAAGATGCAATTCTGTGAAATGTTAATGCCTATTTACAGGATTTCTCCCCTTTCCTCGGGTCAAACTTCAAATTTTTGGATCATAATTTGAAAAACATCTCAAAAACGTCAATTTGAAAATCTCTTCATAAATAAAAAGCATTTTCTTCACATTTATTTTTCTATAACTAACCCAGCCCTAATTAAGAAACTGACTAATAACTGGTTGAGGACTACAACTGCGTCAAGCATCCTTGAACACTATTAATGGTTAATTTGCGTTGCTGTGGAATAAATTTGATCCAATCTTTTCAGAATTGTTTTCATATAGAAGATAAGATGCACAGAAAATGACCAGATCATTACAGTAAATTTTTTAACCTTTCATAGGTGGCCTTTTTGGGTGACTTAAATCATTGCTCTACTTCAATATTGTACATAGCATGTATTCTGAAATTTCTTTAGATTGCTGATTGATGTCATAGAGCTTTAACCTACTTGATGTTGTCAGATAAGGTGCTCTTTAAGCAATTTATTTATTCTACAGCTTTGGAGGTATCCAGGGGTTTCCTTTTTCATCAAGGTAATCCAAAATATTGAAAAGTAAAACAAACAGTAAATAAATGATTTCATTAGGAAGGTTATTATATTTCAGATAGAGTGGGGATGAGTTAAATGGCTTTTTTCCCTGAAGACTTGAAATCCTCATGTTAAAATTGCATCTTTTTTACTGAAGTTGTTAGCAATAGATTTAGTTTGGTATATAAAGTGTACCAAATATAAAGACATGTATCTTATATAGCAAAAAATCTTATTATTGATGGCAGCAAATCATCAAACTATATGTAACAAATACTATAAATGTGTAATGGATATGCCTAAGACAACACATTTTTTCTGGTGTAAATACATACGCAGTTGTTAGCGTTGAGTTGTCCACCCATCTCCAGTCCCCCTCAGTCTCAATGTCACTCAGTCCAATCCAGTAGTGTATGTATGTCCCTGCAATCCTCCTGCCTTCTTTTTCCACAGCCTCCTACAAACCGTTTCACCCAAAACAATCAGTAATCATCCCACAATGCAACTCTGATATAGGCTTGCACTGAACAGAAGCACCTACATGCTGTTTTCTTGTAGTGAGTATGGCGAGATGGGCTCCAATATCTTTACATTTCTCAGCACTGGTAGAGAAATCTTGCTTGTCAGTGTTCAGGTGGAAGCACTGATCCTCAACCTGCAGCCATCCTTCAGGACACTCTTTGCAGTCTTTGGCTGTTTGGACAAAAAAAAGGCTTGTAAAGTAGCACTGTATTGAACATTATATGTATATTTGCAAAAACTTGTTGCAATCATGACATCTTATACCAGAGGTTTTCAACCTGTCAGACCGAGCAATGGCCTGGTTTTTAAAGTAACTTTTCTATTAGACCGCACTGTGTTCAACTTAAAGGTATAGCGGAGGATGTTCTTTTTCTTTTCTTTTTCTGGTGATAAGTTTATGTAAGGCCGTCCTATGTGCTCGTCCCCATTTTCACATAGTTGAAAAATGGCAAATCTTCTTTTGGAAATTAAGCTTGTATGAGCAATGCAAACAACACATTTTAAACAGAGCGTGCACGAGGGGAAATGGGCTTATGCATGGTCTCACAAGCATTTAATAGGCGTTCCCTCTCTGTAGAGGGTACAGGGTTGTGCTTTTTTTTTTCTATGTGGAGAGTCTTTTCAAAAATTCCTGAAAATCCTCCACCAAACCTTTAAGGTTCTCTTTTAGAAACCTTAAAGGTTTGTTTAACAGTATAACTTGCATTCATAACTTCAGTTTTATTATTACTGATGCCATTTTTTCGCTCTGTATGGATGTTGATGCCACAGTTGTTTATATTTCCCACACATTCAGAACAAAATTGACCTGATGTTGAATTATCTGCAGGTTTAAGATCTGATAATTATGTCAGTTTTCATTGGCCACAAACTGGTATAACAAAGTAAATAAAGTATATATATTTTTCCAAACCAAAAACAAATATCTGTTCCAGTCGATATTTCTGAATATTTTTTTCCTACCATAAATGCTTTATTACAATTAATAAAAAACATTTTTTTTTATTCCTATATCAACATGAGGAAAGATTTTAAATCATAGGGAATGTTTATCATTCTGACCCATTTCTTCTTTCACTCCTAAATCTAACCCAATCAACCTAATTATCACCTAATTACTGAGAAGACTCCATCTGTGTGTCATTAAATGTCAGCATGAATCTAGCTGTTCTATGAAGCTTTAGATGTTTGTGAGGGAGAAAAAAATCAATAACAGAAAGCACGAAGACCTAAACACAAATCAGGTTTGGATTATTTTTAAGCAGGATAAGAATGTCAAGCAATATCATAAGCAATGTTCAGTCCCTTGTCAGAAAACGGTAGAAAAAAACTGATAGTGGCAGCATCATGCTGTGTTTAACCTTTGTTTAATAACAACAGGAAAGGTGGTCAGAGTTGAGGGAAGCTACAGGAATCTAAATACAGGGAAGCTTGGGGAGGATTTTAGACTAGGACTGATTCATCTTGCTGTAAGACAACAATGCTCAGGTTGAATTCAAATTTAAAATCAGTTGGAGACTCAAAAAACTGATGCACACAAACGCAATCTATCCTTTTTGACTTTAGAAGGCTTAAGATGTGCGAAACAGACAGAAAATCATTATTGATCATAAAATGTTTATATTAACACTCTAAATGAAAAAAAAAAACATTACTAGATGGTGTTGCTATTTTTGTTTTATTCTTATTCTTCTTCTTATTTTTTTATTATTTAGTTTTATTTTTAAGATCATTTGCCTTATGCATTTTACTGGCTGTCCTGTTCTCTATCATGTTACCCTGAATGCTTTTTAAAGCAGGCTGCTCTTAAAATCATATAAACAATTTGTAAAACAGCTAACTAAATCACCATCCATCTGCTGGAGCCTAGAGGAGGAACATACCTGGAGCTGAGCAGTTGTCTGCCAGACTGGAGTACTGGTTGCACAACAGCCTGTAGCGATCCTTCATCAAGGCGAGCCTTACTTTTAGAAAAGCCACCTCTTCTTCAGGAGTCTTGGGTTTCTGACTGGAGATTTCAGGAACCAGCAGGCCCAGAAGAACAAAGAGGGTGGTTGCTAGTGACAGAGAGCAGTTTTGTTGGAGTTATAGAGCGTATTCCATCAGACCACATGCAGAAATACCAGCTGTTTAAAGAAGATCATCTCACCTTTCACAGAATTCATTGTGTTTCTCAGTGAGCTGAGGGTTGCACATGCTGTCCTAAGGCTCTCTGGAGGCCTTTATAGAGCTACTCTTTGTTTACTAAAGAAAAGGCAAAGTACAGGTTGCAAAATTGTACCAGAACGATTGGGTCATGATCATCAAAGCACGTAACTCTGATGGTGCCATTTGGTGCAGCCAAATCAGTATTGATTTGGCTGCACCATATGAAAAGTTATGTTATCCCCCTTTTTTTCTTTTTCAACAATTATTAAAGATAATAAACTTGAATTTAAACCACAAAGGTATGACAGACAAAACATACACGGAGGATTTAATTCTCAACACAGCCGTCCCAGGGTTTGGATTGGAAGTGTCTTGATTTAGTGTAAATTTCTCTGCCCTCTATATGCAATACCTCTAGGCTGCTTCCCTTATTAACGTCCTTCTTGCTCAACCTTTGTAGTATAGCAGTTGGACCAAAATAATTCCTTTTCCAGATAATGGATTTAACATATGGTAGATGTTTAAAGATTGGGATATTGTCTTAGGCCTATAATTAAACTCTACTTAAAGCTTCCCCAAAGCCTTATGAGTTTCTAGTTTTAGAATTTTTTTAATTAGGTGATTTTTGAAGGCAAAAGGTTGCATCCAATTTAATTTGGGGGTTTAGGAATAAAGAGGGTTGAAAAATAATAGCACACCAGTCATTTAAAATTTGTATTTCTAAAATACTTTGATAGCCACGTTTGTCTGTTTATCGAGATGTCTAGAAAATACACTTAAGTTTGTATAAAAACTTAAGTGGAAAAGTTGAGGGGACATGAATACGTTTTAAAGATTCCATCCATCAATCCATCCATCCATCCATCCATCCATCCATCCATCCATCCATCCATCCATCCATCCATCCATCCATCCATCCATCCATCCCCCCTCATTGACATTATGATCCTCCTGCGGACANCCCCCCCTCATTGACATTATGATCCTCCTGCGGACAGGTTAGATAAACTGATGCATGTTGTTAGTCTTGGCACATGGGTTTGATGGTGTTTACTATCAACGAGCAAAGTTCTCTCACTGTTCCTGAATTCTTCCCTAAATTGGCAAAGACAGATTCCGAACAATGACTCAGCGCTGAGGAGAACAAGTTCTGTGTTAGTGTGTGTGTGTACGTGCTGTGGAGGTTATTTGTATTCACTTCATAAACAGGACAGCTGCAGAAAATATCACCTTTACACACACACATGTCATTGCTTCTGCAACAGACTGTCAGCCTTTTTTTGTCTTATTATGGCTCATGTCCAAGATATATTTTTTTCTTCCTGCCCCATTATTCCCACTAACAATGTTAGTGTCTCTGCTTCATGAGGTTTGGCTGTTCAAATTAATTAAAGGAATGCTTAGTGTTTATCTCTGTGTCCATGGCTTTTGTGCAAAGAAGTGTAGTCATTACTGGTCATTCTTTTCCCCCAAATCCCTGGACTTTCCACATTATTCAGAGCTGTTCTTTTTTCGAACATGTGCATACATCAGCTGTCAGGAAGCAGAAGGTACCAACTGTTTCTTTCACCTGTTCTTAAAAACAGCCTGACTCATTCATCGCACGCCTGCCAAATCCAGAACCTCTTCTTCTCTCCAAACTGAAGAAAGTGGGGAAAGTACTGAGGTTGAGCAACACTGTACATATTGGCAAAAAAAGAGATAAAACATCCACGCATTATGACAAAATGTAACTAACTGTGCCAAGAAAGGAAAGAAAAAGCCTCAATTTTTTTAGGAAAGCTGGAAGGATTTGTTCAAAGGCACTGCTAACCTGCACAGCACCTCTCAGAGCTCGTTTCTCCAGCTCTGCAGCGATGTTGCAGGCAGGAGAGGGTGCCTCGATAAATCAACCAGGGGCTACAAATTAGATTTTAAGGAGAAATATTGTGGCACTAGAGTGAAGATTACCAGAGCCTTTGGGGAGCAGGGGAGTTGCAGCGTAAGAGAGAGGCAGCGTTAACAAGGTCAAAACAGACAGACATGGAGGATGGTGAGAGAAAACTACACCTGCCTGCAGGAGATCACGCAGGAGTCAACATGTGGGGGATGCAGGCTCATCCTTAAACACAGAAATCGTCCTTTTCCTTCTTCAAGCACAAAAACTAAGCCTCATTTTACATGTCAGAGCCATTACTCCATCTGTTAGAGTTCCCTGACACATTACAAGAATATACAAAAAACACTGTTGATTTTAAATGATCAAATTTTAAACGTGTTACCTATGACATTCTTTTTTCATATTGCAAATGGAACCAGATCCTGCAGAGCCTTCTTATCCTCCAAATAAACCAGATATTGACAGATTGTTTCCTCATGAGCTGTGGATCTCTGCAGCTCCTACAGAGTAACTGCAATATTACTCTAAAGAGTTCTCCCTTTCCAAGCCAGTCAGTTTATGGTGATAGCACATCTTAATAAGACAATATATAAGTAAAATGTAGTTTATAATATTCATTCTTTGTAAATAGAGTAATATTCAAGTGGCCCCACAAAATGTTGTGTGTCTGGCATAAAATATTTGCCAAATTTACCACTCAAATCAATAACAATCAACATTCCAGACTAGTCGGGTCCTTGGTGAACAATGACCAATGTTGGTGCTGGTGATAGACAGAGTAATGATGGAAACTGGGCCACTGTGAAACAATAAACAGGAAGAATAGGAGGAGAGGAGATTGTTTCTGTGGGCAGAGAGAGAGACGAGGAAAACAAGGAGGTGAGAATTGAGAGTAAGGGCTTTGAATGCTGCGAATGGCTGACAAAGGAGTGGAGGAAGATTGACATACTTTGTGTTCAGGAGACCAAGTGGAAAGGTAGATGGTCTAAAAGCTAAAAAGGAGGGTAAAAGCTATTCAACAATGATGTAGGTGGGAGAATAAATGCTGTAGGAGTCCTTCCAGAAAGTTTGTCAGGAATGTTTGGGAGTTTAAAAAGAAGGAAAAAAAGAGTGTCAGAATGGGAGAAGAGTCTGAAGCTAGACATTAAAAGTCTTAGTCATTATAGCCCACAGGTGGAATGTGATTTAGATGAGAAGGAGAAATCCAGGAGGGAATCAGATTAAATGATGAAGGAATTCAATGAGGTGAGAGATTGGTGATTGGTAAAGATTACAATAGCTGGGCTGGTAACAGAGGTGATGAGCAGGTTTGGTATCCAGAACGGGAATGCTGAAGAACGCATAGTGGTAGAATAAGATAGATTTGGCTGTAGTGAATACTTTTTACAAGAGGAAGCTGGAATATAAAGAGAGCTGGACCAGAGGTAGGAGCGCATGGGTGGATTACATCTTGTGTTGATTTAACCTAAAGGAAATCAGTGACTGCTATATAATGGGTGGTTACAGCAATGGATGGTGATGTGTAGAATAACTTTAATGTGAGGAAGACAATGAGAACAAAGGCAGAGCACAGGATAATGTGTTGGATGCTGAAAAGGGAACAGCAATCTGTGTTGAGACAGGCTCTGGATGATAAGGAGGTGCAGCTAATGCTACAAGAAAAACATATAGGAAAGTACTTGGTAATTCCTCTGGAAAGAAAGTGAACCAGGAGACTTGGTGGTCGATTAAGTAAGAACAGGTTTAGGTTCAGGGAAATTGTGAAACTACTTTTCAGCATATGTCAGCGGACTGAGAGGAGCTGTCAGGAATATACAGAGATGAAACATTCTTATGAAAGATTCTTATGAATGAGAAAAATGAGACATAGAATGAGCAGAAGTGGCCCTTGATAATGAGAAAATATCAAAGCCTGGTAAGGATTAAGTAACAAAGGCATTGATAAGGATGACAATTGGAAAGGCCATTGGTCCTCATAATACACTTGTAGTGGTATAAAAGTGTCAAGTATTTGAGTGAGAAGATGCCTGGGATTCAGAAGAGTGCTGGAGGCTAGACTGAAGTCAGAAGTTAATATTTGCAGGCACAAACTAAAGNTGGAAAGGCCATTGGTCCTCATAATACACTTGTAGTGGTATCAAATTGTCAAGTATTTGAGTGAGAAGATGCCTGGGATTCAGAAGAGTGCTGGAGGCTAGACTGAAGTCAGAAGTTAATATTTGCAGGCACAAACTAAAGTTAAACAAACTTTATTTTCATTTTGTATACACAGAGTGTGCACAAAACTAAATTTTGTTTATACAGCTTTCCGACAGTGAATGAGCAGCAGCTAAGCAATAAAAAAGAACATTTCCATTCATAAAGTGCAACAGTGATGAAATGTGAGAGTCATGGTGCAAAAAAGCATTGATGTGGAAGGGTCAGGGTAGAGGAAAATAAATATAAATAAATATATACAGAGCAAAATTGCAGTAGAAAACATTTGAGTTGAGTTCTATTAGGTATGATGTAATCAGTGTGATACAGAGTCTCAATGTGTGACTTAATTTAGAATTTTTTCAACAGTTCAGCAGTCTGATGGCGGTGGGGAAAAATCTGTTACAGAACATCCTGGTCAGGCATCGAATGCTGCAAAGCCTCTTCCCAGAAGGCAGCAGGGAGAACAGTCCAGGGTGAAGGTCTAAGGGGTAGCTGCTGATGTTATGGGCTTGGGACACGCGGCGCTGGGATAAAATGTCTTTTATGGAGGAAAGAGGAGCCATGATACTAGGTGCCAAGACCTGCTGGAAAATTAAATCCTCATATCCTCAAAGCTTGTTTGCAGAAGTAAACTTTAACCGCTCTGAAATATCCCGGCGGATTGCTGCATTGACTGAAGGATATTGCAATCCAAGCAGATCATACAGCTCCTGAAATCAAACTGTGAAGATTTTACTGGACGATTTTTATGCCTTTCCACTTTCCCTAAACTCTGGGACCAAATAAAATGGAAAATGTGCACTGATTTGAAAAGGCGAATGAGCAACAGTCTATTCTTCCTCCCACAGTTTAGAAACACGACTGATGGCTTAATAGGTGTCTCTAAATTGTCCTAAGGTGTGAGTGTGTGTGTGTGTGCATGGTTGTGTGTCTCTGTGATGCCCTGGATTTGTGACCTGTCCAGGGTATACCCTGCCTTTCGCCCATAGAGTGCTGGAGACAGGCATCAGCCCCACCATGACTCTGATGGATGAAGCACAAAAAGATTAATGGATGGATGATTTGAAATGAGGAAAAAGCAACAGTCTGGTGTTTTATTTCTCTTTAGCTAAGGCAATGGTGTTGTTGCCTGTGATTGAGGAATGGATTTAGGGAACTAATTTTGCAGTTCCGAATACTTTAATTATCCCAGGGTAAAATTACTTTCATTACCTGACTCCATCTGTAATTGGTCCAGTCTGATTTAACACAATTTCATACAATATATATATATAATTAAGGGGTCCCCGCTCCACATCCCCATTAGTTTGGGGGTCCTTGGCCTGGAAAACATTGAAGACCCCTGCACTAAATCAAATAAAATAGGAGTGGTCAGTTTAACTAGAAAAGCACAACATAAATTCAAGACGTTTATCTTTCTGTAATGACTTTTGTGTTAGCCTCCTTGTCTGCTGCCTGCAATAGATTTTGATAGTCTATCATTTGACATATGGCATCATAAAATTTCTATTTTAAAAATCTTTTCAAATTGTTTTTGTGTAATACCAAAATTTTGTGTTTCTTTAGCTGTAACCCACAATAGCTGTGACCCATAACCCTCAAAATGAATAGGTATAGATAACATGCTTCTGTCTTTTTGCTTATCGCAGGTGTGGCTGCTATTTTCTCATATCCACCACTGTAAAAATGTAAAACTGCTGTATACTGAATATTTATTGTTCCGGTGACTGCAGAGTATTTATATTTGTAAAAAAAACTTTACAGTACAGTACTTTATTTAGTTTATTGTTTAACTCTGCCACCTCTTTTGTTATTTCTTATGCACTTTTAAGGTCCACTTTTACCACACTTTGGTACCACATTTTCCCCATTGTGGTACAAGAAAATGATTTTCTGTGCTATTCTAACACATAAGTATGCATAAAAAAAATCTAAATGGTTACAGAAAATAGAGAAACATTCAAATTACTTTCTGCCCTATTGAAATAAACCTGTATGCTTAAATTCAACTATGATTTTTTTAAGAATCTTCTATGAATATCAGTAGTGACTGCCTAAGATCTGAAACATATGGACACAACCACATGCTGAGCTCCCTCAAGTGTGATTCTCTGCCAGGCCCCAACTGCAACTGTCTTCAGTTGTTTTTTTGTTTGTTTTTTGCTCCTTCCAACTGAAGTTTTGTCCTCAGAAAATAAAGTGCTTGCTCTTCTGATCAGGTATGCTGACTGACTCAGGCATTTGAAAGCATTAAGCAGCTTTTGGGTTGCTCCTGCGGTTTGCTTTCAGTCATCATCCATCTGCGCAGTGAGGCGCTGAGCGGTCGATTTTCCTGAATTTGGCTGAAACTGAGCTGACAGCACAACTCTGTACACTCACCAAAATCATTCCGCCTTGTCAGCGATCACATCTTCAAGGTCAGTGGCCCATTATGTAGTTTAAAGGAAAATGAGCCAGAACCATAGCAATACTGTATAATGCTTTTTTTTTGTTTTAATTTTTGCATTATATTCACTTTTGCTTTCCTTAATTTAGTTTTATAA